TTTTTTCTACAATAATGATTTTCAAAAAGGATAGAAATTGCATTAAATGTTACTATACCCATATGACCAATGATATAGTAAAGCGTTATGAACAAAATTCAAGGTAGAGGGTGTAAATTGGGGTTGAGTTTGCATAGACTTTCATATCATAGGATAGCCTTCAGCTTGGTCAAAGTCTTGCCAAAAAAAATAAATAAATAAAGCACAAACTCAAAAGTGTTGTAAAAAAAAAAAAAAAAATTTAAATACTAACTCAAAATTAAGATTTATGTTATGTTTTTTATTTTTTTTATTTTTTCTGTTTTGAAGTTAAAAACTCTAAATTAAAATTCTTAAAAAAGGAAAAAAATATTAAGGGAGTTGGCTTGGGTCGGTTAGCCGGAGTCTTAATCCATTACCAACCCAACCTGATACGAGTTGGTTCGGTTCGATCGGTTTTTCGATTTTGTTTGCCCATGGCTTGATAATAGCACAAAATAACAAAAATAAATACAACTGATTTATACAAAAACTGACTTTTAATTGGCTAAGGTTCAACCTGCTGCAATGCACTGATATGTCTATAATGCGCCTGCCTAGAATCTCAGTAGCATTTTTAATGGAAAAATCTCGACGTACAGGAAATTTTTAAGAAAAATCAGAAGCATATGTTTCATAGTGGGCCCTTCTGCGGTGAAGATTAGCACCATCAATTCTTCTAACCAACTGCTTTGTCCAAACATTAGTCACGGTTCCTTTAAAGAATGAAGCTTCCTGGTAGCCGTGTGAATTGCAATGAATTGGTAAATATACAATCTGAATTGCATTCACGTTTCCCTTTCACTAAATAGTGCAATTATCAACTCCCATGTTTGATCTTTGTAAAGTCTCTGCTAGAAGAATTAATGTTGTCTTGTAGCAAGTACAACTCAAGAATGTGTTATAGCTTTATTAATGTAAGATAATCAAAAATAAATAATTAACCCTTTATATATAGGGGTTTGCATAGAAAGCTAGTTTAAAAGAATTAAAATTGAAAAGAATTCGAAATAAATTAAATGACAAAAATAAAATAAAAATTAGCAGTTTTCGAGTCCTAAACTAATTCGGATGGCTAAAATCCATTATATGTCACATAAAAGCAGCAAGTCCGTAGTTCTCTTTCCAAATATTTATTAAGGATCCAAATCGGAGTTCAAACGCCAAATCTACAATTAACTGTTTTTATTATTTTTTTTTTCATTTTTGGTCCAATTGTTCCTCAATATATTTTATCATCTGATCTACATCTATTTTCTTTCATGGATTTTTTCATGTTTTTTCTTCAATATATTATGTTTTTTTAAATAGAATAATCGGAAAATCTCTCCTACCGTAGATTGATGTTCTACCCTTGGCATAAATAAATGCAAGATAATGCAATTTTTTGATCAATAGATTTACTGCATAAATATTCCATTTTTAAAATAAATAATTATGTTTATTCCTGATTTACTATATTAAAAAATAATAATAACAAGAAGAAGAGCATATTTTTTTGTATGTTACAACAAGAAGAAGAAGAAGAAGAAGAAGAAGAAGAAGAAGAAGAAGAAGAAGAAGAAGAAGAATTATTTTTGTGTTAAAAAGTGCAATTTATGTTTTCAGTAGCTGACTCATTTGGGAAACCAATCTATTATTGCTCATTTAAATTTTTGATGAATTAAATTGCTCGGTTGAGTTTGTTGACTTTGATACAATATTGAAATTTATAGTTTTACATTAAAAATAACTTCTTAAACGAATAATTCAATTAGAGTTGAAGTGAATGTTCAAACTAAATAAGCTAAGATTTATAGATATATCATGAAGAAAAATGATAACAATAACATGTGCATCGTTAAATTTTCACAACCATCAATTTAAAGAATATACAAATCCATAATTTGTTTATAGAAAGCTTATTATTTTGTAATTTGTTTGAACACTTCAAAAAACCAATACCAATTTGTCCAAATGATTTTCATGATTTAAAATTGGAAATGAGTAATATGGAAACGAATAGAAATACAAAACTTCTTTAGAATCGATTGTGAGAATATTTTCACAAGTACAATAATTTTACATCTGAACGAACACAATTTTCTTTGATGAACCGTGGTCAACCATTTCTTACCTTTTAGATAAGAAAATTACTTATTTCAAAAAGTAAATTTTTATCAATAAAAATATTTTGTTCTAATACTCATTTACTTCGAAAATGTGCACAAATAGTTCTCAACATATAAACCATGCGTGAAACCAGTCCTGATTTCTTTTCCTCGGAAAATTTACACAAATACTCTTTTACTTGGAAAAAGTAACAAGATTGATTAATGACGAGAAGCACTGCAGGATGCTAACGGGTTTGATTTGAGCACCTTTTGATACTTTTGAGATGTTGAGGGGCCAAAATGAAAATGAAAATAAATATTAAATTCTATATTTTTATTTATTTGAGCCAAAGAGCTAATTATTGAAAGAAGGGAGAATTAACCTAGCAATATTCGGCTCATTTTGAAGCTTGTATGAAATGGCGAATTATGAATTCAAAAAAAAGCTAATTTTGATAAGCCAAATCGAATTATAGCTCATTAAAGAGAACTAATTGGTGGGTAATTTAATTTTCAAATTAAGACCAAATTACAATATCAATATTGGACTAGTTTTGAACCCCGTACGTAATGGCGTATTATGAACTCGAAAAAAATGATATTTTGATCAAGTCAAACTCAAGCTTCGATCGATAAAAATTACACTTTAACTACTGGCATATCTCGTAACAAAAAGCCTACAGAAAAAACATATTGCTCTATCTATTCTTGAATAAACAAATTGAAGTTTCGATTTGACCAAAACGGAGAATGATGTTAATCAGCAGGACTTGTTAGAATGATGTTAAACATGCAGGAAAAAAATTAAAAGAAAATTGGGGAGTATAAACCCCTATTTTAGAAAGTTTTAAGTGCTTTTGGTATATTCACACTTATTGTATGAAGCATGGATAAGTACTAGTGCATTTATTCAACAATAATATTTTAGGTTTAACAAATTATGATCTGAGAGGGTGGACATGAATTTGAGGGAAAAGAAAGGAAGAGAAAGAGAGGGCGGCAGAGTCTTTTTTTCTATCGGTGAGCAGCAGCTAAGTAAATATGGGAGAAGGAGAAAGGGAAAAGGGAAAGTCAAGAAAAGAGGAGAGCGTGTGGCGAAATTGAGCTAAATTAGCCTATGTTTGGTAGAAATTAAAATTCAGATTTTATGGGATCCATAACTTTTTAATCACACATTTTATCAGTTTTTATTTACTAAAAATCTGTTATTAATCCTTGTCAAACAGGGGCTTAATAATCTGACCAGCCCAAAGTTTTATATTCCTTGTGTTAATTAGAAATGATTTCAATTTGTGGAAATTACGCGACCTAAATATATACAGTACAAATGGAATGAAGCAATATTATTCACAAATGAAACTTCAGGGAAATAGATTTTATATGTACCAGATGCTATGAAAAAGTTGAAGTATGATAAACATCCTAATAGACCCCTGGTTTATCATCATCGTTGGGCTTAATTAGGATTATCTAGTGAAGATGGAATTGTGTAGAGAACATCTGCCGTAGTTAGTTGATGATTATGTTTAATCAGACATCTTAAAAATTTACTAGTTTATCAATGTTGCTTTATTAGTCGTTTAGGGCCTCAAATTTCTTAGGATCGACACTGTTAAGAGGTGGCAACTTTATTGTGAAAGAGAATCTTCTAATTGTATCAGTGTGTCTTAATTTTGGTTTTGAAGCATCTGATTGAACACGAGTTTTTTTTGATGAAATGTGGTAAACCATTCAACTAGCTACAAATAAATTTTGTGGATGCCATTTATTTGACATGGCCCACATGGGGAAAGTTAGCAATGGAAACATGTTGAAAAATATTCCTTTATTTGACAGCGTAGATTTAATCTCATATTCTTATTGTACTCGATATATTTCCTAGCACTTGAGTGAGAATTTTTATCATTATAATTATTTGGTAAATTGTGTGTGTGTGTGTGTGTGTATTGTTCTACGAAGTTTACTGCCACAAGATTGGGGTGGATTTCTTATGCAGCATGAAATAAGGAATTCAAATAAAAACATTAAGAGCACAATTTTTGAAATTGACCAAATTTTGAAGAAATAAACTCACAAAATTTTATTAATGTAAGATAATAAATAATAATAATAATTAACCCTTTATATATAGGGCTTTACATAGAAAGCTAGTTTAAAAGAACTAAAATTGAAAAGAATTCGAAATAAATTAAATGACAAAAATAACATAAAAACTTTAAAAGCTGTTTTCGAGTTCTAAACGAACTCGGATGGCTAAAATCCATTTTATGTCACATAAAAGCATCGAGTCCAATCCGATTTGTAGTTCTCTTTCCAAAAATGTATTAAGGATCCAAATCGGAGTTCAAACGCCAAATCTACAATTAACCGTTTTTAGTATTTTTTTTCATTTTCAGTTTAATTGTTCCTCATTCCATTTAATCATCTGATCTACATCAATTTTCTTTCATGGATTTTTTCGAGCTTCACACCTGCAATAGTTGCAGAGGATGATTTATCGAGCTTCACACCTGCAATTGATGAAGGTGAATTTACTTCAGTTTATGCAGAGGCGGATACGGCTTCTATTAGAAGCTCTGAGGCCACTGTCAATCAACCATTGGCAGGAGATTTCAAGGGCCAAGCAGATGCTAAAAGCAATGAGGTGAAGAATGGAAGACCAAAGGAAAAGCAAAACTCAACTCCAACAGTAACGAAACTGGCGTGGGCTGGAGCTAGCTAGAACGAAGGATGGTGACTCGTCTGCCAGAAAATACCATGATGGAAGACCAAATGTACAAGCAAATTGAGACAGTTAGTGGTCACCAAACAAACGGGATGAGGAAGAGATTGCTATCTAACGATATCTCTCTGCGCATTGAAGTCGGATCTGTAGCTGCGCCCAAGGATGTCCCAAGGCCTACCAAGAATAGGAATAACACAACAAGGAATATCTCCAAACGAGATGCAACATCTAGCTACCTCTGTCTAAGAGAATCAAAGGTATACATTTAAGCTAAAGCAAAAATTGTCCAAAGAAACAAGTGAAATTACATTTTAACCAGTTTTAAATCAAAAATGGAAGAAGAATGACTACCTAAGTTATTCTCAATAAATTAAATTTATAGTCCCAATTACATGAGCCAGCGCGTTGATAATAACCATCAATAACAGAGATAATACTGCGTTCGAATACTAAAATAAGAACCTCCATCTTTCTTAAATATTTTCTTTTTCTTTCTTCTATTCATTCATTTCTCATGATGTCGTGAATACTGTTATAGGATAGTAAGAAAGTATGTCAACTAGAAGATGGAAAAGATAAGATGAAAATGCCAAAGTAGGCACGAAATAAAAGAGAGATGAAAAACACGGATTCTACATCTCAAGTACCAGTAGAGATTGAATAATTTTGGCAATTTGGGACCTCATGTATAATTCATTTTATGACTTAGAACATCTATGTTATTGTTAGCAGAAATCATTGTGCATAAATTATAATAAAATAAATCAAGCTTTATTTTTTTAGATGAACAACCAACAATGTTTATTGTAAAGGACAAGGGAATATTGCACCATTAGTTGACTTATGACCTTGTAGCAACTTAATCATTAAACAATTTTTTTATTTTTTTTTATTTTTTTATTTTATTTGGGGCAGCTTGTTCCCGACATTTTAGTTTTTGTGGGTAATTGGTTTTCAACGGATGTCATTGTCAATTTGATTGTCAACAATGAACTTACGAGGATAAAATGAATAAACATTTAAATTTAAAGAAAAAATAAAAAAGAAAGAAAGAAAGAGAAAAGAGAAACATACTATTTGCTTTCTTCTTCATTTTTTTTGTTCAAACCACCATGAGATCAAAAATATGTAGTAGAACTGAAAGGAAATAATAGAAATTACAAACTTAAGAGTAGACATGTACAATGCACCCTACTCCAATCAATGGAAGTACAAGTAAAAATAGGGGCGACCTTAAGATTTTATGGTCTTAAGTCAAACTTTATATGGGACATTCTAGATATAAGTCAAAAATAAAATCACTTACAATGATTATAAATAAGGTCCCCCCCCCCCAAGAAAACATTCTTTTTACAATAATAATAATAATAATAATAATAATTTAAAACTTTCAAGAGTTAAATTTACACTTACTAGCATTCTGAAAGAAGGAAAGGTTGTGCATCAATTTTGATTCGAGATAGTCGTGAATTATGATACATGAAGATGGAGCAATGTCTTAACTTCCAATTGTTGAAATTGAATTTTAAAAAATATTTGAAGAGTTAACTTTAGATTTTCCCTTCTGGCATTTGGAAAGAAGGAAAGGTTGTGTGTCAATTTGATTAGAGATAATTGTGATATATGAAAGTCGAGCAACGTATGTTCTAACTCTAGTTGATAAAAAACTGGACTTTAAAAAATATTTCAAGAGTTAACTTCAAAATTTGTTCTTCTGGCACTTTGAAGGAAGGAGAGGTTGATCATCATTTTTTATTAGAAACAGTAGTGAATTATGTGATATATGAAGATAAAGCAGCATATGTTCTGACTTCCAATTGTTGAAAGATTGCACTTTAAAAAAGTTTTTAAGAGTTAACTTTAAATTTGCTCTTCCGGCATTTTGAAGGAAAGAAAGGTTGTGAATCAGTTTTGATTAGAGACGGTTGTTAATTATTATATATGAAGGTGAATCAGCGTATGTTCTAACTTCCGGTTGTTAAAAGATTGGACTTTAAAAAGTATTTCAAGAGTTAAATTTAAATTTACTCTTTTGGCATTTTGAGGGAAGGAAAAGTTGTGCGTCAATTTTGATTAGAGTGGTCGTTAATTATGATATATGAAGGTGGAGCAATGTATGCTCTAACTTTCAATTGTTGAAAGATCAGACTTTAAAAAATAACTCGGGATATAGTACAAAAAGATTGGCCTGCTTTAAAACAATAACAAATGAGCCTTAATTTTTCGAGGGTGCTCATATTTGGGGCATTATGTAGCAGCCTATGCTTGCCTAATCCTAAAGCAGGCATTGAATAAAAAGTTAACTAGTCCAATTTAGCCACCAAAAAAGGAAAAAAGAAAAAAAAATTGAATACTTGATTGAGAAAAAAGTTTATTTTGCATGTCAAGTGTCAACAAATGACCACTAATTATGTTATTAGTTAAGAATACGTATTATGCACTCAATATTTTAATGACTTTGTTGTGATCCGCAAAATCCTGATTACATACGTTAACCAACAATTTATTTATTTTCAGACAATTAACTGCATTAAAAAAATCATTCTTTGAAAATATAGCTCATTCAAAGCAAATGGTGAGACAAATAAAAAGTACATGGATTATTAATCAAAAATAATATATCCGTAATTTAATGTCTGTGTACAAAAGCATTGCCCTCAAGCACGATTGAATTTAAACATAGTCTACTCAACTAATACAAGTACTAGTGTTTTCAATTTTCTTTAAGGAACGACAAATTTTGGGAAAAACCAACGAAGACCTCCTTTTTAAGAGAAAAATGGTGTTTAACAATATGATTGTTAGTGAAGGAAGTTTTAGAGTTAAAAAAAATAAAAAATAAAAAAAAATCCTAATTGGACATTGAATATTACATAAAGTTTTTCATTGATTTTTAAACTTTAAGAGTTTCGAAAGATTACTGAACTTATCAAATTATTATTTATTGACCATTAAACTTTAGAAGTTTTTCAAATGATCATCAAACTTATCAAATCCTTATTCAATTTATCATTAAATTTTTTTTTTTAAATTTCAAATGATCACCAAATTTATCAAATTAGATGGCCAATTCATCACTTGATTACCTCCTTAAAAAGTATAAGAGATTTGAAAATTGAAGGCAATCGGAAAATATGATCAAAGTTCGATATACATTCAAATGAAAAGAAAATACACGGACTAGACCAACGCGTTGATGTTAAAGTCTGATTTGTGATGTTAAAGAAAATACGTGGGATTTGCTTTGACGATGTTGGAAGTGTTAAGAAGAAACATTTGGGTGCTATATGAGGGTTGCTTCATTATTTCTGCGTGTTCTCTCTCTCTCTCTCTCTCTCTCTCTCTCTCTATTGTAAAGGGATGTGTATTGACAATAGTTAATGCTCCGATGTCTTTAAACTGTCCTGCTTACATTTATGTCTCTCTAGTGGTCTCTCCTTTTTAGTTAGGGTCCGGATGATTGCAAAGATGAAATTTGGGTGGAAAGAAAACGAATTCTAGGGAATTGAATTGTCTAGAAATTATTTTACTGAAAATTGTCAACTAATAGTGTTTGATTGGTATAATTTTCCACCTGAAAAATGTTGAAATAAAAGTATCTTTTGGTGTTCGTTTGACTTTGTTTTTCATAAAAATTGTCAATTTAAGGGTCACTTCTACAATTGTTCCTAGAATTTATTTCCATTGCAAAAAAAAAATAATAATAAATAATATAAAATTCAAAAATCATCTATATTTTGGTATTCGTTTGACTTTGTTTTATATAAAATTGTCAATTTAAGGGATATTCTCTTTTACAAGTATTCATAAATTTTGTTTTCATTGAAAAAAAAAAAGTTGTATGGAAAATCAATTTCCACCAATTCTATGAGAAAATGAATTCCTCGAAACCAAAGAAAAGCCGATCACGTGAAGGCAAAGCTAGAAAACCAATTACTTGGAAAATTTGGCAAATCAAACACTCCAAAACATGGAAAATGAAATTTCATTTCCAAGTTTCTTAAAAAAGCCCTATCAAATAGACCCTTAATGTAGTTTAGGTAGCTAAGAGTCACCTGCTAGGCCTATTTTGCAAGGCCACTTATGTTAAATGTACAATTAGTTTAACAGATGATGAGATAACATACATTTTAACCTTTGATTTTAATAATTCTATTCAAAAAAATTTACATGAACCATTGACAATCTCAACCTTTAAAACATTATGAAAATTAAAATTTAAAGGTTTGAGATTGTACGTGACACAAATAAAAAGTTTGAATATAATTTACAAAAAAAATGAAAAGTTTAAGTGCTGCAACTGCAATTACCTATTTCTAATTTTAACTTCTTCTTTTTTTTAACGGTTAATCTAATGGATTGGACCTATATTATCTCTATAAATAGAGATTAGATAGAACCTAGACATCTAATTGAACACAACAAAGTTGAATGCAATTGTTTTATAGTGGTTAGATTTGGGGGGAGAGAGAGAGAGAGAGAGAGAATTTATTCTTCTTATGTTATTCACATATTCAGTCCAAAAAATAGTTTCTTAATTTAGTTAAAATGAGGTGTCCGCCCACGTGTATAGTATTAACGTTGAAAAATATTATAGAAGACTTGAAGATTTGGAGCATCAAATTCTTTAGATTAAAAGTTTGAAGATTGTGATTAAAAAATTGGAAGTTCTTGATTTAAAATTAGTTCATGAAGTAACAATCGAATTTAGATAAAAGTTCAAATATTTTATTCTTGATATAATATACACGTGAACATCTAGATGATCTTATTATTTTTTTTTTTTTAGATAATTGTACTTCCACATTCCAACAGTCTCAATGTTAGTTTTGATATATTATCTGAAAATTAACAAAAACAAAAGACTTTTTTGGACTTGATTGTAAGAATTTTTTTAACAAGTACAAGAATTTTGCATTTGAACGAACACAAGTTTCTTTCATGAACCGTGATCAACCATTCTACTAGTTACAAATAAATTTGGTGGATGTCATTCCCAAATTGAATCCAGACACCAAAATATTGTTTGCGAGCAATATGAGGTATTGTTGATGACGATGATGATGATGATGATGATGATGATACAAGTGATTAGAACCTAGAGCTTGTTTGAGTCCCATTTTATTGTAAGAATTCATT